TTCTCTGGTCATGTTGCTCCTAGCATTATTCAGAGCCACGGTTTGCTTTGCTTGCAGATATGTGATTGCACTTTCCCAAGAAAAGGGGAGGCTTGGCTCCAGCTAACCTCTATCTCAGAAGTTTAGTGAGGAGTAAGTAGCTCAAACAATAAAATTAGTTGTCCCATGGTAAAGGGGATGCCAGTGCTGCCAAATGTGCCTGGTTAGGTGTTGGCTGTGTGTGGATGGCTAGTGCCATGCACTCTGGGAAGCTATGTCAACCTAGCCTGATCCCCGCCCACCTTGGCAGATAGGCCCTTCTTGGCACTTCCTGTGAGGCACCATAGAAGGCCCTGCTAATTGCATGCTTGCTACCAACCATGGTCCGTGTGACAGGGAAATCCCAGGATATCTTTGAACATGGGTACTAGTATTATTATCCCCACTGTACAGTGAGAAACCAAAGCCCAGAGAGATGAACTTGTACAAGGTCAAATGCTGAGCAAATACTGGATCAGAACCGGTGCTGGGCAATTGAGAACAAAACAGTTGTTATCCTGAGTACAGGGTCCTAAAGTACTGTAGTGTGAAGGACTAGTCAGAGGGTGTCAGGCCAAGTAGGCAAATGTGTCCAGGGCTGGGAAGGATGCACATCGGGGCTTGCAAGTCTGCTATTGTACAGGAGTGGGGCAGGGACAGGCATGGTTGACTGCACAGGGCCTCATATGCTCCAAAGTTTGACTTTTGATGCAGGTATGAGACGTACCTCACCTGTGCAGTTATAGTAATCATGACGGCATGTCGTGTTCTCTGTGTGGAGCTTTTCCACATCAGTGGTTTGTTTAATTTTTCCAGCAGCTCTGGAACTAGATATTGCTCTAGTTTTACAGATAAGGAGACTGAGGCTCAGGGAGATTGGGGGTCACCCAACTTGGAGCAGAGCCAAACTTTCTAGCTCCAAATCCAGAACCTCAGGTTTGCACAGGTAGCCTGGTAGAAGGGAGCTATTCATGGCTGGGATGACATTCAGGCTGCTGTGTGTCTACCTGCTGTTAACTCCTTGAAGCTCATACAAACACAGCCTGCTCCTGCTGTTTTTCAGGGGACAAAGTGATGCTATTCTGGAGCAGATCACTGAGAGTCCCACTCGTGTGTGTGTGTGTGTGTGTGTGTGTGTGTGTTTAACCTGGAAAAGCAAGACCATTTTCCTCCAACATCTCCCCACAGCAAGTCCTCAATAAACTGATTACCTTTGGCTGTGTCTATATAAATAGACTGCAACAGTCATGTCATATCACATAAGGCTCTGAAGAACCAGCAAAAGAAAAATCTGAGAAAGTTGTGTCCTAAGCCATTTGGGGAGCTGTGTTAAACAGGGTGGCAATAGGGTTACAATTATCATTATAAGTAAAGGAACATCTACTTATCTACTTATCTTTTTTTTTTTTTAATTTACCTGTTCACACAAGGTGGCTGCATCATTTTACATTCTCATCCGATAGTGTTATGGCTTATATCTGGATGTCTCCCCAAAGCCTCATGTGCTCAATAGGTGAGGCTTTGGAAGGTGGCTGGATCATGGGTGTTTAATACTGGATCAGTTCACTGAGTGGTTTAGCATAGTTCTGGGTGTGGATGATGGATTTATTGAAGAGGGAAGACCCACTCTGGGTGTAGGTGGGACCAACCAATAGGCTTGTAGCCTGGATGGAATAAAAAGGGAAAGAAGGAAGGCTCCCTGCTTCCTGCTTGCCATGCCATGAACTTTTTCTCCTCTGCCATGCTTCCCTGCCTCGCAACCAGACTGTGGACTGAAACCTCTACAAAGTGTGAGCTAAAAAAACCTTTCTTCATTTATCTTGTGGGTGTTGGGTATTTTGTCTTAGCAATGAGAAAGTAACTAAGACAGTGCACAAGGGTTCCAATTTCTCCACATCCTTGCCAATACTTATTTTCAGTGATTGTTTTTACAATAGTTGACCAAATGGCCAAATGTTTCTCACTGTGAATTGCATTTGCCTAGTGATTAGTCTTGTTAAGTATCTTTTCCTGTGCTTATTGGCCATTTGTATAACTTCTTTAGAGAAGTATCTATTCAGGTCCTTGATCCACTTTTTGAGATTTGGTTTTGATTTGTAGATTCTCCTTATATGTTCTGAACATTAATCCCTTATCAGCTATTTGATTGGCAAATATTTTCTCCCATTCTGTGAGTGGCCTTTAGTCTCTCTTTCTTTCAAGGTACTAGGGATTGAACCCAGGGCCTTCACACTAAGCTGCATCCTCAGCCCTTTTTTGTTTTTATTTTGAGATAAGATCTTGCTAAGTCATTAAGTTTCCCAGGCTGGGCTGGAATTTGTGATCCTCTTGCCTCAGCCTCCCTAGTGCTGGGATTACACATACAAACCATTATACCTGGCTATTTGCACTCTTTTTTTTTTTTTTTTTGGTACCAGGGATCAAACTCGGGTCCTTGCACTTGAGCAGCATGCAGCAAAACCACTGAGCTAAATCCCTGGCCCTCTGCACTCTTTTTATAGTGTGCTTTGATGCACCAAAGATTTTTCATTTTGATGGCTAATAGAAATTCCTTCGTTGGTTATGCTTTTGGAACCATATACAAGAAATCACTGGCAAATATGAAATCATGAGGCATTCCTCCCCAGTCTCTATTTTTTTTAAAAGAATTTTGACACCTAAAGCCCCACTAAAATGTCCCAAGTAGTGTGATGGACTACAGAGTTCTTATAAACTTTATTTTAAAAATTCATTCAGATGAAATTCATCTACCATAAAACTAACCATCTTAACGTGAACAATCTTGTGTCACAACATTCACAATGTGACTGTCCCCTATTGTTTCATCAGTACTTTCTGGTTTACAAAACTATGTTTATATCCATGTTCTCAATTGATGTTCACAGTAACTGTTGGTGTTGGAGAGAGTAGCAAAATCCTTCACAGGAATGGGTGGAAGGGGAGGGTGTGCCACTAGGCAAGACACTGAGCCCACAGGGTTTTAGACAGTCTAATGTGGGGCAGACTGCCTACCTGAGAAGTGCCCCTTCTAGCCAAGGTCCTGGCACTCTCACTTCTTCTCTGGGTCCCCTGATCTGCATCATTTGCCTCTACCTGGCTTCTCCACCTGACTTTGATTGCAAATTGGTGGCATCTCCACACCCACTGGTGATTTCTCAAGGACAGACAGAGCTTTCTTGGGGCACTTGGGCAATACCTGCAGCATGGCCCATGGGGGACTATTACAAAGTACAGGGCCAGGAGCCCCTCAGAGGTCAGCTAGCCTGATTCCGGCATCAGGATGAGGAAAGGGAGTCTAAAGGAGTGGGTGGCACAAAGCCTCAAACTCAGCTGGAGCCTGGCCTTGGCTTTCCAGTCCAACTGAGGGAGTCCCTCCTTAAACCTTTCACCCTTCAGAGGAAAAGAGGCAGCAGAGACCTGCCCTTGCTTGAGCCTTCTGGGTCTCTGCTGCAAGGGCTTCCAAAGTGAATCCTGATCACCCAGGCAGAAAGTGGCTCATGCCACCAATGGTCCCTGTGAGCCTCTTTCCTGGATGCTGGGGATTCCCAGGTGAGGACTCAGGGCCCACCCTCAGCAAAGGCCACCAAAAATAAAGACACCATGGAAAGAGCCAGACAAGCATAAGCAAAGTGTACCCTTTTTTTCCCCCCTTAAATTCTTTTATTGGTACATTTTAGGTATACAATATGCTTACATTTATCATGGGATGCTTGTACCTGTACATGACATATCTTGTTTCTTATTTTTCCCCCATTCCCTGTCCTCCCTTCACCCCCTCCACCCTTCCCTATTTACAAAGACTTTGTTTCCATTTTTTCCTTTTCTTATAATTTTTCCTTTCCCCTTCCCCTCCCACTTCTCCTACCACTTTGGGCCTTTTCTTCCTAATTCAAATTATCAATTATTCATTTTAATCATTTTAATCCTTATTTATACTTTCTCGCACCAGAGAAACTATTTGGTATTTACATATGTGTGTCCTATTTATTTCACTTGAGTATGGCCTCAATGTGCATCCATTTAGCTCTAAATGTCTCTAGTTTCTTGTTCTATATGGCTGAGTAGTGCTCCATTTTATAAAAAAACTCACATTTTCTTTATCCAGTTTCCAGTTGATGGGCACTTTGGCTGTTTCCAAACTTTAGCTATTACACACTGTCAAGTGTGCCCTTCTTTTGAAGTCAATGACTTTAATGACTTGTCATAGCTCATGGAGGAGAGCCATTGAGGCTCTTTGTAGTCTTGGGACAAGGAGGAGCTTGCAGACTCATGCTGGTTATGATACAGGAGATAGGGCATGGCAAAGCTGGCTGGGGGAAATGAGCGGGATCTATCAATTACAAGATCTCAGGGCTATGGCAGAACCCAGTATGTAGAACTTCTCCAGAGCTCCCAGGAATGGACACCATAAAGTGGACCGGCCATCACAGAAAGCTGCTACCATGCTTGTGTTTCTCAGACGCGGGGTATACTTTTATTTTTGCTTTTAAACTTTTTTTTTCTTTGTTCGGCCCAAGTTCGCTCTGCAGTTGGTTTCCCCCATACACATTTACCACACACTTTTCAAATAAATATTTTGGCACCATTATTGGCTTGTCTCGTCCAATTCTTTGTTCGCGGCAAGAAGAACCTGGAATGCTTTTGATCGGTGAGCCATTTCTAAAGAAACTACCCTGTAACAGATTGCTGATGAGTCAGGCTGTGGTCCAGGCTCTGCCCAGGGGAAGGAATTCCGTTGGTCTCCAAATGCAGCCCAGCCTACTCACTTTGATTTTGACTGGGTATATTGCTCCGATCCCTGCTAGACTGATGACAGAAGTTTGACATTATTATTAAGCATTTTAGGGTTTTTCCATTTTAAAAATTAGAATTCTAGGTTACCAGAACTCAGAAAGTCCCTTGGTCGTATTTCCCCTCCTTTTTACAAGTGCCCGGGGCAGGGTCCAGAGGGGCAAGGCCAGCTGGGTGGGCTGGAGCTCAGATCCTTCAGTTCTGCAGCCAATGACCGGGCCCCAGACGGTAGGGCGCGCTGACTGCCACCTTCCTCGTGGTTCACCAGCGATCAGGCCAGGCCTGGAGCTAACCAGGGAAGCAGCCTGCCCGAACTCACTTCCTTCAGCCCCAGCTGCCTGGGCTCCCTTCCAGGGTGTCCACCTCGTTTCCTGCTGAATATTACTCAGCCTCTTGTTGGACATGGCCAGCCTTAGGTTAATCGGGCAGTTATTAACCAGCACCGGCTCGCCACCCTTCCTTTCTCGCCGGTCCTTCCGGCCATGCTCTTCCGGCTCTGCCGTCCGGGCACCGGAGGGCTTCCTGGACGAGGCGTAGATGGTGCTCCGGGCCTTGGTCTCTCCACGCTCTCCAGGGTGGGCTGGGGACTATCAGAGCAGAGCCCCGGGGCTGGAGGACGCTGGCGGGAACCAGGGGGCTTTTTCCCGCCAGGGGGCGCGGCTGCGGGGCGGGAACCAGCGAAGCGAGAGAACCGAGCACACAGACGACGCGCAGGCGCCAGCCGGCTTCGCGGGTTCGGAAGTGACGACCGAGCGCTAAGGCTACAGAGCCGGCTCCGGGGCCGGCCACGCCCCTCCCGCCGGCTCCGCCCCTTGCCGGCCCCTTGTAGTCCCGCCCCTCGACAGTCCCTGTCAGGGTCCGCTTACTCTGGCCAGTCCCGCCCCAGGCCTCCGCCCCGCTCTCCAGGCCCCGCCCCGCGGACCGTCTCTCTGCGGACGCGGCTCCGGGTTGCCTACCCGGACCCAGGCTCCCCCACGGCTGGAGCGCGGGGTCGACACTGGGCGGCCTGGGGGGTCCCGAGCTCAGTGTGCCCGGCCGTCCGCGGGGCAGCCATGGCGGAGGCCACGCAGCAGCACCTGTCGCTGCCCTCAGGGCTGCTGGAGTTGTGTGCGCTACTGGGCGCCCCTCGCGACAGCCTTCGCAGCCTCGAGCAGGTAAGGGGCCGTCCAGGACACTGAGGCAGAGCGAGGGATGACGACCCGAGAGCGAGGTCAGGTCGGGCGCATCCCGAACGAGGGCCCCGGTGTTCAGCAGGGCTGGCAAGGGCTTCCGACGGCTATGTCACCCCCACCACCGCTGGCTGCTGGGCTCTCGGTCCCGCGGGTCCCCGAGAGGTGCACCCCAGCCTGTGCCCACGAAGCTCACGACGGCCTGGGAGGGGCCCCTCGCCCCTGCTGGGTGGGTGTCAGTGCGCCCAAGGTCAGAGCAGGTACCGTCAGCGGGCCCTGGGCCGAGGCCAGCAGCTGTTCGCCAACGAGAGCTGTTCGCCGAGAGGGGGGTGCTTTCCCTTCTCCCTGGGGACCCTCGAGGCAGAGGCCACCTGGATCTGTACCTAGCGGTGATCGTGGTGCAGAGCGCTCGCATGCGCTGCAGCGCTTCCCCGTGGCCTTTTGCCTCCCTGGAGTCCGGGCCCGCAGGCTGCCCCCGCCTGGAGCAAGGTGCTGACAAGCCAGTACCCCCGAGGTCGAGGTCTAGTGAACCAAATCCTTGCCGATTAGCACATTAAATGATTTCCTTCATTACACAAAGATTTATTGTCTCCTAAGTAATGTGTGCTCTGCTGGGCACAGAACAATGTGATCTTAAGTTGTGGATTTAATTACCAGGTTTAAACATTCTACATTTAGTTGTTGTGCGACGAAGCCTAGCTGTTTTGTTTTGTTTTGTTTTTTCTGCCTTCCCTCCATCCCTGCTCCCTAGTGGGGAAATTCATATCCTTTCTTTGGAAGAAGAGCAGTTTTAGAAAACCTCCTCCTTGTTCCTCTCCTGTGTTCCCTTTTTTACTTGTGGAACCTGGCTTTCTTTTGAATCTGTCTTTTTTCCTGTTGCTCCAGCATTATCTGTGATGTTGTCTCTGTCTTTTTCCCCAGAGGTTTCACTGGTCTCCTGCCCAGGTGCCTGGGGGAAGTCCTTTCATCTCTCTCCAGCTGATGACACTGGAACAGTATATGAGGGTTTGATGGCCGGCTGTTCAGGGAAAGCAGACAGCTGAAGCTACATGGTTGTCATCAAGAAAAGTTTAAATATTTCTAAAAGTAACAGAATGAATGCCTGTTAATGTCTCAGTAGTTTCTATTGCTGAGCTTTAGTACAAAGCTAATTTTGACTTATGCAAAAAAGCATTTCTCTACTCAGAAATGATTTCCGGGAGTCCCTCCCACCTGTCCTACTTCTCAATCCCCCCATAATGTCGGTGTATCTGCTCCAACCCTCATCAACTGAAAGTTGTCTCTTTGCCTCTAACTTGCCCAATGGCATTGCCTCCTTTTTCTTAGAACAGGAAATAACCTGGTGTCACTTGTGGTCTTCCAGGCAGCTCAGCATTTTTGCTTCCTGGACCACTTCAGCATGTCTCTTGGTTGCTTGGTGTGAAAAATGTTTTGAGAGAGGATGAATCAACCAGAATGTTTATGCTGGTACTTTCCTGAGCTAACAGGCTGCAGTGCTCCTCAGCTAAAGTGAGAGGAGATGGTTTGCTATTCTGCATTTAACATGAACCCTCTTTGTTTTATATTCTGATTCTGCTAGGGATTTGGCAGAGTGGAGAGAAAAATAGTTATGAGTTTGTAAATAAAGCAGAGTTAGAGCTGGGCATGATGGCACATGCTTGCAATCCCACTACTCGGGGCTGAGGCAGGAGGATTGCAAAGTCAAGGCCAGCCTGGGCAACCTACTGAAACCCTGTCACAGAATAAAAAATAAAATAGAATAAAGGGCTGGTGGTGTAGCTCAGTGGTAGAGTGCTGGAGCTCAAAGGCCCTGGGTTCAATCCCAGTGTGGCAAGAAAAAGGAGATTAGAAGATGGATTAAATTTCTGGAGTGACCCTCCTTTTAAATCAACATCAACGTTCCAGTTAACCAAATGTAAATTTTATGTAATTTAATTTTTATAGTATTTCTCTTTTGAATGTCCAAGGTTTTAAAAAACACTTTTTTATTTTACATTTTAAAATTGCCATTTCTCTACCGTTCATATGTTTCTCTTTGGTGGCACATGAAAACAAGGATGGAGTGCTGAAAAGTATCCATCCTGAGATTAAGGTAGCATAGTGCCCTGATGTGTTGTTTCATCTGGTAGATAGTGGGGGATAGGGTTAATTTTGTTGGGAATGGTGAGAAAGAACTCCAGAATTGGTCAATCGCCATGCAAGTTACGGTGATACGTTTCTCTCTAGCCCTATGCTGTAGCGGGGTCCCCCTTTATTGATTGCTGTGGTGTAAGGGGATCCATCATAAATCCATCACATAGTGGCAGAAAGTGCTCATAGTGCCTTTTGCAGTGTAGGTTACTGGCATAATTGCTGTGTGTAGAGATACATTTTTATGGTTTGAGTGAGGGCTTTCAGTTCCTAGGACAGCACTGTCCAGAAGAATTTCTGGGTTGGTGGCACCCTGTCCACGTAGTCCAATACATGTCCCCTGGCTATATATGGCTACTGAGCACTTGCAGTGTGGCTGGTGCTCCTGAGGAAACTGGACTTTATGTTTCAGTTTGTTTTTTGCTGTTCCTTTTCAGGGCTGGGGATTGAACTCAGGGCTTCATGCATGCTAGGCAAGTGCTCTGCTGCTGAGCCACATCCCTAGCCCTCATTTAGTTTTAATTAATTTAAATTTCAATGGCCATATGGTACAGCTGTGTTGGAAAGTATAGTTCAGGGGCATTGAAAGAATATTTTTGGTTTTATTTCATTTATAACAGTCAATCCTACAGTAAAGAGTAGTGCACTGTATAGTCTAGTTTAGAAGTAAATCTGGTACTTAATGAGTTAGGTGCTGTGGTTTTAACTTTATAATGAGCTTTTTTAAAAAAAAACACAAACAGTGGTTATTGTATAGGGGTTTAATAAGTCAGTGTTTGGGGCAGGAGAGGAGGAAATAACTGTCAGCTCCTGGCTTAGGCTGGCAGAGGTGACAGAGTTGGCAGTCTGTGGGCATGGACCTGTCTTCACAGCCAAGCTGTGTATCACGGAGTATCCATGCACACTCGTGATGGGGCCATCCATTTCCGGAAATTTATTCTAACAAAGGAATGATGGGTGCAGCCATATTGGTGAGACCTGAGCGTGTACCAGATGCTTCTCAGAAGAGAAGGGACAAATATATTACTGATCTGTCAGTCACATAGTGTGACAGCTGTGAACAGGGAAGTCAGTCACACTGCAATGAAACAGGCAAGACAACCGTGTAAATTGGATGACCACAGTATTAAAAAATGTTGTAAGTTTACATGTGCATAAAAAATGGAAGGAAGTGCCCTGGGCTGTACAAAGGGTGTTACCTTGGAGTCATAAAACCCTGGGGAAGGTCTTCCTGTCCTGGTGTGTCCTTTAATATCTCTTGTTGTTATTTGTGAAAATGAGACTGTACTGCTTATCCAGTCAGGAAAGAAAACAGAGATTTCCAGACAGGGAAGAAGAAACACAAGTGAAATGGACTGGTGGACAAATGTTGGATGGATTTTGAGTACATCGTTTTAGTAATTAAAGATAAATAGAGGGAATGACAGGAGTGTGTTGGCTTTAGTGTGATGACCAGTATTCAGTCCAGATCTGAGATCACCAAGCATTAGAAGTGTGAATGGAGGGACATCACCTAAGAGCTAAATGTGGGGACAGAAATACAGTACAATCTCTGTCTCACCACACCCTCACAACCTGGAAGGTGAGAGAGTAGTGCTGTGGGGGGCAGAGAAGCTCTGATGTACTGGGGAGGTGGAGCCCTGGGAGGAGGAGCTGTAGGACATGATGAGTCAGGAGCTGGAGGTGTGAAAGGAGGCACCGTAGGAGGTGATGAGCTGGGTGGTGGGGGTCAGGGTCAGGAAGAGCTCACCATCCTGGCCAGGGTGGATGAGGCCCTCTCTAGTGAGTTGAGGGCAGAGGATTTGCCTGGTGAGGAGGTGGAGCCAGCAGAGAGCTGGGAGGTGTCAGGCTGAGCCTAGGGCATCGAGAAGCAGGGTGCTGCAGAGACCCCTGAGGTGAGTAGCTGTGTGTGGTTTTGAGGCACCGTGGAGGGGGCGGCTGGTCTGCCGCTCGGGAGCACACTGTCATGTGGCCCATGCAGATGTGTGATACTTACACAGGAAGATTAGCGCTAATGATAACGGAGAGACATGGTTCTCAGTGCGGTGGAAGGTCAGAGAAGGGTTTGTAGGGCTGGTTGGTCCCACAAGGTGCCTGGTCTGGTCATTCAACAGGGGCACCTCTCTTGGGGAGTATGGACACAGATGATGATAGGGAGCCCTGGGACCTTTGAAGGATTTGGTCCTGATTAATCTATTCCTACTCTTAGCTACAGCTGTGCAGGTGCTGGGTTTGCAACCCCAATGCCATGGGACAGCAGTGAGCTGATGTGGGAGATCTTTCCAGGCCAGTGACCCCACGGTGGGGGTTTGCAGATGGGAAGTGGGCCCACAGCCTGGAGTCCCAGCTCCAAAGGCCCAACCTGAGCCATTTTCATTGCAGAGAATATAGGTGGGAGACCAGGTTTTTTGGAAACTAGCAGGAGCTTAACTGTTGAACCTGTAAGGGACCCCTGACAGGCAGGGGGATTGCTAGAGAGATTTGAGGAGAGTGTGGGAGTGGAGAGTTTTGAGTGGAGAGCAGGACCCTTGGAGCTGTGCGTTTGGAACTATGGCCGGAACCTGGGAGTGAGATGGTCTGGAAGGCTGGAGCTCCAGCCTTAAGGAAGGGGCCGGGCAGGAACAGTGAGAAGCTGGAGAAGAGCTGAGGGAAGCCAGGATCAGGGAAGCCCCAGAAAAGGGGCTGGTCAGCTGTCCTGTGTGTTGCTTGATGTGAACTCACTTGCTCCCACAACCTGACATCTATCAAGAGATGATTTTGCATGGTGGGGGTACATCTCAGTCTTTATGGCCATAACTCTCCATAGTGGGAGAAGCAGACAAGCATATTTTCAGTTAATTAGGTCAGAACTGTTGACTTTTGGTAAGAAAGTTTTAGAGGAAGTTTCATGTGACTGGAGGCATGGGTTCCCTTCATGTGTAGGACATGAAAGGTTTTCACATTATGAACTAATACAGAATTCCCATGTTTGATCTTCATTGCTACTGGTGTATTTTCCCCAAATATAAAGAATTGTTGACAGAATTTGAATAATACAGCATATAAATAATTGTATTGAGTTTAGAGCATCCTTACTGACTGAAGATGTTGTCTTTGTAAAATTCCTTTCCTGTGAGAGGTTCCCTTTTAGCTCCTGATTCTTAGGAGTTGTTGACAGCTGGCTATTCTTTTTTTTTTGGTACCGGGGATCAAACTCGGGTCCTTGTGCTTGCGAGGCAGGCAGGGGAACCACAGAGCTAAATCCCCGGCCCAGCTGGCTATTCTTTTTGTGGGGACAGTGCAGTCCTTTTAGATACTCCTTCTAGGGCAGCAAAGACTCTCAGTTGCCCAACCTCCCAGCCCTTGCCTACTGCCTCCTGCTTTCTCATATCCTGTAATCCAGAGAACTGTGGCTGAGGCTTTTCTATTTTTAGTCTGCTGAGCACCTGGGCCACTTCCTTCTCTCTCAAACTGTGTTTTGGCAGAAGTTCTTTGAAAGATCTGAAACCAGCCTAGCAGCAGTACACGCTCAGCCCTGCTCTGCATTAGGAACTATGTAGCATTGTATCTGGACAGAATAGAGGTTTAAGATTCAGCATGTATTCTTTCATTATTTGGGAAAAGAATGGAAAGATAAATGGTTTAAAAAAAAAAAGCTGGTACCAACTTAAAGTTTAAAAGAATTCAGGTTAAGTGTTCTCCTTTTACCCATCCCAAGGAACCATTTGGTCAGTGAGGAGGCATGTGTCTCTCCTGTTCATATCCATCAGATCTTCCTCACTCCTCTGTCCATCCACCCAGGTCAGCAGGGACAGGAAGTGATTTGAGAGATAGCTCAGGGGCATGGAGGGCATGGTGCCAGTGAACATGTATATGTAGAGTGTGAGGGTGCACAGAGCCCTTCAGCATCTGCCCCTGATCTCCCTGGGCAGAGGGCACATGCGCGCTCCTGGCGCTCCCCTCCTCTGGGTGTCTGACCTACTTGGTTGCCCCATCCCCTGCATGTACCCTGTGAGAGGAGCACTAGGAGGCATAGTAATATGCTGCTGGCTGTTGGAGACAGAGCTGGGATTGGAGCTCCAAGTCTGCTTCTCAGTAGTCGGCTCAGGAGTGCAGTGCTTGTGCCAAGAGGGCGTATTATTGCTGCCCGTATTCCACATGGAAACCCTGGGCTTGGAGGGCTTTGTGACCGCTTGAACACTGGGCCTGGAAGTTCTTAAAAGAAACTTTCTCAACATGAGTCTCGGGAGGGAAGGACACTCCTGCTGCACCTTTACAGGACAATGCAGAGCCACTGGAGCCTGTGGCAGAGGGGAGGCAGAGGAGATGAGCAGAGGATGCTTTCTGGGAAGGAGCAGACCATGCAGTGACTCTTATTTTTCCTTTTCCAGTTTACTCAGAAGAGGGGAGTCAGAAGCCTTTCTTTCCTGGACCCAGAGGTTCTGTCCGTTTTTGTGCCTCCTTTTATCAGTAAAGAGGACAGCCAGGGGGCCGGTGGGAATTGTGCGACTCTAGGGAAAGGCAGGAGGCGCTCCTTCAGGAAGAAGAGAGAGAAGCCCAAGACAGAGCCCTGGAAAGGCCCCCCAGGGGACTCCAAAGGGCCTGATACTGAAGACATCAGCATCCCAGGTGGTGTGGACCTCCTTGCCCTGCCCCAGCTGTGCTTCCCAGGTATGGTACATGTGGCGGCCAACCTGAGTGGCTTATGTCAGGTTGGTCCATGCCCAGAGGTCTGCATGCTGAGGACGGCAGGGTGGGCAGTGGAGCCAGGGGCCCCGCCATCCAGTGTTGGATCATGGGACTCTGTGTTCTCTCAGGGGAAGTTGAAAGCATTTAGTGCAGTCCCAGGGCTTGGAAAGCTAAGTCCAGAAAGAGCGGCTGTGCGGATTGCCAGGTGGTGTGGTACGCTTTGGGGCTCCTTGAGGCACTGGTGCTTTGACTTTACAGGAAGTTTGTTTGGCCTCTGGAATGTCCCTGAGCCTCTTCTCTCCCCATCACTGTCTCTGTTTACTGGAAAAAAGGGCTCAGTTTGCGTTTTGTCCTCAAGTTCACAATTCCAGTTAATGGTAAACTTGTGTTTCTGGGCTTCATCTTTTCCCTGGTCTTAAGAAGAGTTAAGATGGATGATGTAGGATAGTCAGGTCCTGTCTTCGGTCCCCATCAAGAGCCTCATGCCCTTCCTGGTCACAGGGTTACAACCTGGGACAGGTGTGGGGCAGGGTTCTGTGCCCAGAAGCATCACCGTGCCACCAGGCAGGCCCCGAAAGTGTGTCTCAGCTCTGAAGGTTGGTATTGACCCCACCACATCATTCACCCAACTCTTCAGACCACAGGAGTTGTAAAGAAGCTGCTGCTGGGGGAGAGACAGGGAGAGAGGGTGGGCAGAGCAGGCTACAGAGTGGACACATCTTGGGCATCAAAGTGCCCCATGGAGAAGGAGTGATGGTCACGTCCTGTACCCCAGGGGAAGGTTGTCAATTGAGACTGTTCTTTCTTTTCACTCTGTCTGCAGGAGGCATGCATGTGGCCTCAGAACCAAAGGAGGACCATGTCCATTTTCTGGTGCTGACTGACGTGTGTGGGAACAGGACCTATGGCGTGGTGGCCCAGTACTACCGACCCCTGCATGTAGGTGGCCCCCTCTGAGTGGGTGTTGATTTTTAAAACACTTGTGGTGAAATTCATATATAAGATTCACGTTTTTCACCATTTCACAGTGTTTGGTTCAGCAACGTAGATTGCGTGCACAATGCTGTGCAACCGGCACCACTGTCTAGTTCCAAAGCATTTGCATCCCCCAAGCCCCGCACTCATTAAGTCCTTCCTGCCGGATTCCCTTGTGCCAGCAACCACTAATGCACTTTCCTGCACTCTGGATTTCTCTAAAGTGCAGACTTTGTGTAGATGGAATCGTACACTACAGGGCCTTGTGTGTCTGGATTCTTTCACTCAGCGAGATGGTTTCAAGGCTCATTCACACTGTAGCGTGCTCTATTCCCTCCCTCCCTACTTTACTTCCTCCTTTTTTACCTTCCTTCCTTCCAGGATTGAACCTGGGGGTGCTCTACCACTGAGCTATGCCCCCAAGCCTGTTTTAAATTTTAGATTGAGGCAGGGTCTTGCAAAGTTGCCCAGAATGGCTTCAAACTCAAAATCCTTCTGCCTCAGCCTCCCAAGTTAGCTGGAATTATGGGTATGCAGCACTGTACCTAGCTTCGTTATTCCTTTTGTGTGGATGGAATACATTTTATTTATCTATTTACCCACTGATGGGCACATGTTCCCATCTTTCACTTGCTGTGCAAGGTGCATGGGGATACATATTACTGGGGATTGAACCCAGGGCTTTTGTACATCCTTGCCATTATTATTTTTTATTTTGATACATGATCTCATTTAGGCACTAAGTTGCCCAGGCTGGGTTCAAATTAGCAATCCTCCTTGCTCAGGGGGTTTAGAATTTTTGAGCACATTTCACTCATCCTGTGTTGGGGTACTGTCTAGTCAAGACTGTGAGGTGAGAAACAGCTGCCCTTGAGGAGCTGTTAGGGGACCCTGCTCCCTCTTTGTCCTCAGAGGCTGGGGAAAGAATTATGCTTCCATTGTGACTGACCAGAGGCAAAAGATATAATCAGATGGACTCTGTCCTGTATGCCATGGAGTAAATCCCAGGCATATGCAGATGCTGCCTTGCTGTGTAGCTGCTGCTGTCAGCTCGCCTGCTTTGTGTCCCGTTGTGTTCTGGCTGTGTGTCCCTTTTCATCCTCAGGCCACAGGCATCTGGTACATTTTTGTGACCTCAGTGCCCTGCAGAGGCATATATCACATGGGGCCTGTCCATGGCAGTTGGTAGGTGGTTCTGGCTGGGACATGGGCAGCATGTTGAGGGACCTTTCCCACCCCTATGTTGTCTCTGTACTGATGTGCGACTGTTGGATGCCAGGACTGCAGGTGTATGTGACAATGTCCCTGTTGCTCTTTCCCTAGGATGATCGCTGTTTCTACAATGGCACGGCACACTGGGAGCCATCCTGGCCAAGTATAGTTGGCGCTGCCGGCTGCTTTGTGCCCTTTGCAGTGTGTGTGGTCTCCAGGTTCCCCTACTACAACTCCCTCAAGGACTGCCTCTCTTGGTGAGATTAGGGGCCACTTGACTCCAAGTGTGGGGGGAAAGTGGCAGGGTGGCCAGCCAGAGGTCTTTGAAAACCCAGATCTGGTAATGGTAAAGTAGGGATGTGGCATGGCAGAGGTAGGAGGTAAGTGCTGTGCTGCTGGAAGTGAAGCTAATAGGGAGGAGTTTATTTTTGTTGGTTTTAGAGAAGAGACGCCTATCAGGAAAACTCTTCCTAGCTCTTAGGAAGCTATAGTTTGTTCTGACCAGGTTGTTTTTTTTGTTTGTTTGTTTTGTTTTTTAATTTGGTGTACTGGAGATCAAATCCAGGCCCTTGTACATGTTAGGCAAGTGCTCTACCACTGTGCCATACCCCCAGTGCTGTAAGTTTCACTGACATTTTAAAAACTTATATTTTTGGGTGTGGTGGTGCAAATCTGTAATCCCAGCTACCCAGGAGGCTGAGGCTGGAGAATTTCAGGTTGAGCTGAACTTGGGTAACTTGAGACAGCAAGACCCTGTCTCAAAACAAAAATTTAAGGGCCGGGGATGTAGCTCAGTGGTTCTTGTGCCTGCCTCGCAAGTGCAAGGTCCCGAGTTCAATCCCCGGTACCAAAAACAAAACAAAAATTTTAAAAGGTTGGGGACGTAGCTCTGTGGTAAAGTGCTCCTGGGATCAATTTCCCAGTATCACCACCACCACCACCACCACCACAACAAAATAACTTAGGTCTTTGGGGGAAGCCTGTAATTGTTTTACTGCTCCTAATGAGTGGAAAGCCTGAAGATATAAATAAAGAATTTTGAAAAAAATCAGGAAGGCATTTTGTGGGACCTGACTATCAGAGGCTGTTACTGTGATGGGAGAGGCCCCCAAGTTTGGCTTGGACCAGTCAGTCCCCTGAACACAGGTGAGAGAGTCGTTTGCTTTGAAGCCTCATGAAGTTGTAGTTGTAGAATTTGTTACTTGATTAAAGACTGAGAATGGGGCAGTTACAGAGTCCCTTAGTCAAGACACTAAAGAGCAGTCCATACTCACTGGGGGTTTTGCAGCTGGTACCCTGTCAAGGACACTTGCTGTGGACCCTACACTTTGTCATAGAGTGCACCAAGCAATGGTTTGGTGAGCTGGAACCTTCTGGTTCACATTAGCAGCATTTGTAATTCAAATTCCAGCCCTTTCGTGTTTTGCTTCTTAAAATATAGCTGGTGTCTTAGTTACTTTTTGCATTGCTGAGACAAAATACCTGACACCCAAAGTTAAAAGAGGAAAGCTTTGTTGTAGTTCACAGTTTGTAGAGGTTTTAGTTCATAGTTGGCTGGCTCCAAGGCTGGCTGACATGGCAGAGAGGCATCACAGAGGAGAAACAGTTCGTGGTGGATGAACGGCAGCAAAGCAGCAAAGTAGTGAGAAAGCAGCAGGCCACAAGCCAGGACAGCAGCCCTCTTCTGTCCCTTGTTATATTCCTTAGGGTGGGTAGCACTTATACTCAGGGTGGACCTTCCCATTATCCACACCTAGAACTATGCCAAACTAATCAGTGGACTACTTTATTTTTTATTTATTTATTTATTTGTACTGGGGATAGAACTCGGGTCCTTGTGCTTATGGGCCAGGCAGCGGAACCACTGAGCTAAATCCCTGGCCCACTGTGGACTACTTTAGTAATCTCACACCCTTGATCCCAACATAACACATTCTAGATCCAGCCACCTCTGAAAAGGCTACCTATGACTGCATGAGGCTTTGGGGGGATATCTAGACACAAGCCATAACAGCTGATTTGTGGACACTGTGTGGGTCCATCATGCATTTAGCAGCCATGGACAGAGGAGTCTGTAGGACAAAGCCCACTGGTCTTTGTGAGAGAGAGAGCTGAGCCCGTGCTTGTGCCCACAGGGAGCACTAGCATTATAATTAGGATGTGGTTCCTTCTGAGTTATTAACTGATGACATCCTCATTCCTTGAGGGTAACAGGTTTCTAACTCATCTCCAGTTTCCTCCTCTGTAAAGTGGGGTGGTCATGTCTAGCCTTTGCTAAATGAAACAAATGACCAAGGGCCTGATGATGCCTGTACTCAGCAGATGGACAGAAAGGTGTGTTCTCTCCCTGGCTGGGCTGGTTCTGTTTCCTCCTGTGGGCATCAGTGCAAATGATGTGACAGCAAAGAGTGGAGCTTTCACGTCCATGCTTCTGAGTTCTCTTCTTTCAGTGGTCATTGCTGCAATATCAGAACTGGAACTAGAGCTAGAGAGGAACAAAGGACAGAAAGGCAAGATGCCTCATGTCAATAAGCATTATATTTTTAAGCCATCTGTTCATCAACTACAGTGATACTGTGCACAATTCACCTTCTTATGGACACAAATTGGGTATTCAGTTTGTTATCTTTGTGGGAGTAGATTATAGGCAGTTTTCTTCTTAAATTTTACCTTGATGCTATTATAATTTTATAATAAATACAAATATGGAGGATTATTGAATTATCTCCAAATCCTGACAGTGGCCACATGAATAAATACTGTTTGTTACTTAAAGTAACAGCACTTTGAATTGCTGGGATACGGGGTCTTGCATCATGGTGGTTCCTTCCTGGGTGGCTGCCTGGTCAAGTGTGACCATTGGATGCACTCTCAGCACTATGGCCACCCCTGGACATGCACTCCGTGTGGCTTCCATGCCCTCATGTTGCTTTGTGTTGAGTTTATTTTCCTTTCCCGTCAAACTCTTTTCCTTATGGCCAAGTAGTCATGGACTCCAGGGCTAGCCCAAGGCATAGCACTTTGTAAACCTTCAAAAATAATTGGTCAAGGGCCAGGGATTTGGTTCAGTGACACTGTGCCTTCCTGGCAAGCGCAAGGTCCTGAGTTCCATCCCGGGTACCAAAAAAAAGAAAAAGAAAAAGAAAAAAAATAATTGGTCAAATGAGTAAATGTAGCAAATGGGTAACAAATGAATTTATGCAAATATACATTACAGTGTCCATTCTTGGGCTCCTCAGAAAGGGAGTGTCCTTAGCATCTGAACATTTCCTGTGTATCTTTTAACTCGTGTGCTACCTTCCAGGTCTGCTGTTCCACACCCATAGAGTTCACACCACATATCCAGTTGTGCCTGAACTGAGCATGTACAGAGTTTTTTCCTGTCATTTTCCTTAAATAATTCAGTATAATAACTGTTTTCATGGTATCAGTTATTATTAGTAATCCAGAGGTGACTTAAAGTACAGGAAGGTGTGTGTGGGTTCTATGCAAGTATTATACCATTTTATATAAAGGACCTGAGCGTCTGCCAGGGTTCTGGACCCAGTACCTTGCAGATACAAAGGGACAGTTGTACTTTTACACACACATTTCTAAGAAGCAACTTTATCATAGAGTAATAGATATGCAACAACAGCACCCACCCATGTAAGCATATGGGTGGGTATATTTTGACATGTGTACACACCTGTGTAACCAGCACAGTTGTGAGAAGGGATAGTTCAGATGCCAAGTTCCCTGGCACCCTTACAGTCAGTTCCCAGCCCTTCTGCCCCAACACCCACTTGTACATTGTGTCTTTAAATCATATACTTAAAAAGTCAGCATGCATTTGGGGACAAAGTTTCTCAAGTGCTTCCCTTCAAGGTGGTGCTGGGTTTTTCTTCCTTACTGACTTCAGTATCACACACAATATAGAACAAGGCTCAGAGTCCAGCGATTTTTCACAAATGGACACACCTAGGTAACCAGGGCCAGAATGGGAAACAGAGCATGACCATGCTCCCCTCCCACTTTGTGGCCCCTTCCAGGCTTCCCCACCCTGGGGGGCCACTGTCTGATAACTCGGGAGAGTCTCGGAATTGAACATATAGACCCTTCAGGAGATGTCAGCTTGGTTAGAAAGACTAAGGGTGGCAACTGGATTCTCACTTTTAATTTGTGACTTGACTTTTTTTTTTCAATTACAGTTTATTGACTCATCTGAAGCTCTGTAAAGACTTTGAAGTTGACAGTCATATAAAAGATTTTGCTGCGAGACTATCGTTAATACCTAGCCCCCCACCTGGACCACTCCATTTGGTAAATTAAATCTGGAATTATATTATGAGTTTTTCTTTGCAAGTAGTAAAAGTAATATGCTGATGATTAAGTTCTAGCTGTGTTTAAATTATGTTCCTCCTTTCTAGAGGTGAAAAGTTAAATATTTAGGGATTGAGTTTTGCTGAGTAGCTCATGAGAACTGAGCTAATAGTATGAAATGGGACACTTTGGTGTTAACATGCAAGTTTGTTTCTTGCATGCAGAAAATACATAGAAACCCCAGTCCTTCAGTCTAAGTAAATCCTCTGAATTTACTTTAAATTTGAAATTCCCCTTTAGTTATTTGTCTTGAATATTGATTATTATATTTAACTTGTTAATGTTTTCTTTTGTACAGTGGAATTAATGAAAAGTAACTGGTTGTATATGTTTTGTTATTCTTAGAAATGCCGCTGGGTTTAATTAATAGACAAGTACTTCTCAAGCTGGGTTCTATTCTAAAAAATGTTACTGCCTACTTCACGACCTGGGTTTCAGGGTGAAGCCGGCTTGGAGAAGTGGGGCCCAGATTCCCCTTGGGTTGAGTAATGTGTCAGACTGCTGAGCTGGGTGAAGAAACCTGTTCTATGTGACTCAGCATTTTCTAAACTCATTAGCCCTACACAGGATGCTTTCTTTTAAAAACATATCTGGGGGCCGGGGTTTTAGCTCAGTGGTTTCGCCACCTGCTGTGGCGCAAGGAGCTGAGTTCGATCCTGGTACCAAAAAACAAAACAAAACAAAACAAAAAGCATATCTGTTAATCACTGGTCATTCGAGAGATGCAGATGAAAACAACACTGAGATTCCACCTCACCCCAGAAAGAATGGCTGCTATCAAGAAATCAACCAATAACAAATGCTGGCGGTGGTGTGGGGAGAAAGGAACCCTTCTCCATTGTTGGAGGGAGTGCAGACTGGTGCAACCACTGTGGAAATCAGTATGGAGATACCTCAGAGAACTAGGACTAGAGGTCCCATTTGACCCAGCTATTCCCCTGCTGTGTATCTTCCCAAAAGAATTAAAAGAATCATACCACAGCAATATATGTGCACCCATGTTTATAGCGGCACAGTTTGTAATAGCTAAAGCTTGGAAACAGCCCAAGTGCCCATCAACTGGAGACTGGATAAAGAAGATGTGGGTTTTTTTATAAAATGGAGTACTACTCAGCCATAAAGAACGAGAAACTGGAGACATTTATAGCTAAATGGATGCATATTGAGGCCATACGCTTAAGTGAAATAAATAGGACACACATGTAAATACCAAATAGTTTCTCTAGTGTGAGAAACTAACAGTGTAAATAAGGATTAAAATGATTAAAATGAATAATTGATAATTTGAAATAGGAAGAAAAGATCCAAAGAGGGAGGGAAAGTGGGAGGGGAAGGGGAAAGGAAAGAAGGAAAAGGAAAAATTATGAGAAAAGAAAAAAATGGAAACAAAGTCTATGTAAATAGGGAAGGGTGGAGGGATGAAGGGCACACAGGTAAGGGGGAAAAATTAAGAACCAAGATACATCATGTTCAGGTACAAACACCCCATGATAAATGTGAACATATTGTGTACCTAAAATGTACCAATAAAAGAATTTAAGCAAAAAAAAAAAATCTGTTAATAAGCATCTAGAAATGTTTAGTGAGCTTTACTTTATTAGTCCCTTTTGAGAGATTATACAAATAAATCTCGGACCTCTACATTTTTTTATTCTTGACTATTGAAAACCAAGTGTTGCTTGTCAGAAGACTTGTGATCCTGAACTGAAAACATGTATTTTTAATATTACTCCCAGCCCAGAAATCTGCTAGGAGGAGGATCCTGCCGGTGCATTCCAGTCCAGACAGAGAGCAGGTCATTTCCAGTCTACTCCCAGGGACCTTTGCTGGGAGTGACTATTTTATGGGTATAGCTGGAAGATTTCTTTCCTGAAGTTTTTAGGTAAAGGAAATTGTTTAAGATTTTGGATTTTTTTCCCCCCAGACTTTGGAATGTTTGTACATACAAGATACCTCAGTGATGAGACCTAAATCCTAGCACAGAATTTATTTATGTTTCATATGCACCTTGTGTGCATTGTCTGAAAGTCATTTTATTTTATTTTATTTTATTTTTTTGGTACCAGGGATCAAACTCAGGTCCTTGGGCTTGTGAGGCAGGCACTGCAACCACTGAGCTAAATCCCCAGCCCTGAAAGTCATTTTATAAAATACATTTAGTACGTGTACTTTGTAGTACTGGGGATTGAACGCAGGGGCTTCTCATTGAGCTGTATCCCTAGCATCTCTCTGCCTCTTACTTTTTCCCACATTTTATTGTGAGACAGGTTCTCACTAAGTCACTAAGTTGCCCAGGCTGGGTTTGAACTTGTGATCCTCCTGCCTCAGCTTCCCAGCGTGTTGAATTACAGGCCTGTCCTGCCACACCCAGCTGCCCTTGTTTTTTGACTGTGACTCATGCTATGAGGTTAGGTGAGGAATTTTCCACTGTGACGTCATGCCAGTGCTCAAAAATATTTGGATGTGGAGCACTTTTGGAGTTGGGTTTCAGGTTAGGGAGGCTCAGCCTGCCCTTGGTGTTTTCTCGTTGACAGCGACTGTAGTGAAGTCTTCCAAGTTTGTGCTTTCATCCTGCAGCCTAGCACTGCCCCAGAACTTGTGCTAGATAGAGCAGAGTGCAGCTATGCCTGTGAGATGTTCACAGCAGCGTTTTGCACCTAGACTCCCTGCTCTGCTGGCGTCTGTTCCCCACTCCCAATTCCCGGGAGCAAGTTCATGGAGGGTGGTGTTTGACCTTCCCTTCCCCTGCACATTCACTTTCGCTCAGGCCTTGCCCACCTACCTGTCCCCCTTACTTTAATCATGTTCCTGCTATCTCCTGTTCTGGGCCACCTGGTTCTCCCTCCTTTGTGACTTGGGAACCACTTGTCTGCCCACTTCTGCTCCTTCTTAGCCTTTCCTTCATCCTCTGCTCTGTGGCTGCAGAGGCCACCAAAACCTGTAAGTTGGGCCCCATTATTCTGCCTAAACCCCACAATGGTTCCTCATTGCACTTCTCACCTCAGCCCTGCACGGTGCACCCAGCCTCACAGTCCGGCTTTGTTCTGGACCTCTCCCCCTTGCTTGCTGGGCTCCAGCTTCACCAGGCTCCCATCAGTCCCCTGGAGGTGGTGCCACAGGGCTCTTGCCTATGCAGTTCTGGAAGTAATTCCTCCCTGTCCTGTGCCCAGCACCTGTTCCTCATCCAGCTGGTGCACAGTTGTCAGCTCTTCACAGTAGCCTCTGGGCACTCTCCTTGTCCCTCTCATGGTCCCCAGCCCTTCCTGCAGGGCACAACACTGTCTGTAGTGAGTCAGCTCTGTGTGTGTTTGTGTTTAATGTCTATCTCCTCCACCAGACGCTGAGCAGCATGTGGAAGAGGCCACAGCAGCACTGCGTATCTGCCTCTGTTTCTGATATAGCCCTCATGCCTGCACCTGATGGCCTCATTCAAGTGCTGTGACTTCCTTTAACCAGCTTCTTTGGCTTCTGGAGCTAAAGGAGCATATTGCTCATGATCTATTTGAGGGAATGTCACATGATAGTGCTTTTTTTGTTGTTGTTGTGGTGCTGGGGATTGAACCAAGAGCCTCATGCATGCTGGTTAAATCCTGTACCACTGCTCTACATCCTTAGCCTTATTTAAAATTTTATTTTGAGACAGAGTCTTGCTGAGTTGCCCAGCCTAGGCTTGAACTTGTGTACCTCCTACCTCTGCCTCCTGAGTAGCTGGGATTACAGGTGTGCACCACCTCATCCATGTTTGTTGTTTTAAAGAAATCCAAGAGGCTGATTTAGGCGAGTGTTTTCATCTGCACCAGAAGCTGACTCAGCAGCATGTTCTAGAACCCATTGCCAGCCAATGTCTCCTACAGGTGTCAGTGGCAGTTGTGGGCATCAGTGCTTATGTTTTGAGTGATGTGCCTGCATGTGGTGTGCAGCCATTTCCTGTTATTTCTGGGCCTGGTCAGCTCTATTTTTGCTAACTGGAAGATGCAGGAGGCCCCACAGCATGGGGGTGGTGAAGAAGTGGAAGCTGAGCCTTGTTCCCTTGTCCCCTCTTCCCCTTGTCCCTCACTGCGCCTGGACCCCCCACCCAAGAGAGCAGCAGATATTAGGGACACCAGAGGCCCAGGGCTTCCTTTGCCTGCAACGTTACCTGCTTTCCAAATCTTGGGCCCAATGGGTGTGCACAGTGAAATGTGCCTCTGTGTGTGTGTGTGTGTGTGTGTGTGTGTGTGTGTGTGTGCATGTGCGTGCGTGTGTATGCATATACCTCTCCCTACCCCATTGTTCCTGAATCATTGTGTGAGTTGCTTTGAATGTGAACTTACTCTTGTTTCGGGACTCAAATCAGATGACCTTTGGCAAGAATTGACCTAGAATCTGTATCTCCTCAGTTTCTTCATTTGCAAAGAGAGTAAGATAACAGCCCACAGGGAGCAAGGGTGCGTGCTGTACACTACCTGCATGCACCAAGGCATCCCGGGGACAAGCATCAGCAAGAGGTAGAATGATTAGCATCTGCTTTTATGTCTAATTGGGTAACTGGTTGACACATTTTTTTTTGAAATATTGAGAATTTTCATCTAAACTATATAATTATTAATATTACAATATAGCCTGCAGAATTTAACTCCATTTTATTTTGTTTTCCATGAAAAGGCCTTTATTGTTCACATAAATGACTCTACCTTATTTTATTTTCTTACTTTTGAGATGCTGGGGATTGAACCCAGGGCCTTGTGCATGCTAGGCAAGTGCTCTGCCACTGAGCCACACTAGCCCCAGCTGCCTTATGTTTTTTTTTAAAGTGTATATCCTTTTATTGATAAATTTTAGGTATATAATATAATGACATACATCATTGGAAATTTGCACCTTTACATACCCTCTTGGTTCTTATTTTTTCCCCCTTCCCATGCCCTCCCTTCGACCCCTCTATCCCTCCCTATTTACAAAGACTTTGTTTCCTTTTTTTCATTTTCTCATATTAATTCCATCCCCTTCTTTCCTTTCCCCTACCCTTCCCAGTTCCCCTTCCCTTTTGCCCCTTTTCTTCCTATTTCACATTATCTATTATACCTTTTAGTCCTTATTTACACTTTCAGTTTCTCACACTAGAGAAACTATTTGGTATTTACACATGTGTGTCCTATTTATTTCACTTAAGAGTATCGCCTCAATGTGCATCCATTTAGCAATAAATGTCTCTAATTTATCATTTTTTATGGCTGGGTACTACTCCATTTTATTAAAAAAAATTATACAGTCTCCAGTTGATGGGCAATTGGGCTGCTTCCAAGTTTTATCTATTACAAACTGTGGTGCTATGAACATGGGTGCACATATATGGCTGTGGTATGAGTCTTTTAATTTTGGGGGGAAGATACCCAGCAGGGGAACAGCTGGGTCAAATGGGACCTCTAGCCCTAGTCCTTTGAGGTATCTCCATACTGATTTTCACAGTGGTTGCACCAGTCTGCACTCCCACCAGCAATGGAGTAGGGTTCCTTTTTCCCCACAATCCCACCAGCATTTGTTATTGGTTGATTTCTTGATAGCAGCCATTCTTTCTGGAGTGAGATGGAATCTCAGTGTTGTTTTCATCTGCATCTCTCAAATGACCAGTGATGTTGATTTTTTCATATGTTTATTTGCCATTTCTACTTTTTTGTGTGAGAAATGTCTGTTCATTTCAGATGCCCATTTTTGGATTGTGTCTTTAAATTTGAGTGCCTTATGTTTAATGTGTCTTGCTTCTGTAGGCAAATTGGTAACAGGAAAGCAAAGAGTCTCCATGTATTGATGAAAAGCACTTACTTGTGTCTTTACTACCAAGAAACTATAATCTGTCTTGTTTCTTGTTTTCCTCCCATGAAAATACACTTACAAGAGTGATGTAGGTGACTATAGGGAAGTATGAAAGCAAATACTTCATCCTGTTACCTTTTCCTCGACTCAGTGCCCTATTGCTCTCAATTTCCTCCTCCTCTCATGCTTTGCTTTTGTGAAGCTATTCTGTCTGTTTCCTTTCTATCTTCTAGATCTTTGCTTGTGACTCTAACATTCCATTCTGCTCATTTGGTGGAACCTGGGGCAGAGAAGATGCCCGAGCCACCCCTATGTTGTGGTGTTGGAAACTTGCCGTCCACAGCTTCATCGCCCAACAAGCTGGGAAGCCCCTCTGAGGAAGCAACTGTATCTTCCTCTTTGATTTCTTCCTTCCGCAATGAGGTCCTTTAGCTCGACATGGGGATTCTGTGAAGAAGGAATTTGCATTGAAACGTTATTTCAAAATCATGTCATTTAGAAAAAGAAAAGGTCTTTTTTACAATTTTTTGAGTTCTGAGAGTGATCTTTTTTTTTTTTTTGGTACCGGGGATTGAACTCAGGACCTTGTGCTTGCCAGGCAGGTGCGGCACCACTGAGCTACATCCTCAGCTCTTACAATTTTTTTTTCTGTTTTTTTTTTTGGTACCGGGGATCGAACTCGAGTCCTTGTGCTTGTGCAACAGGCGGCAAAACCACTGAGCTAAATCCCCAGCCCTCTTACAATTTTTTGAACTACAAGTCTAAGGAACTTTGACTGTTAAGTGGAAAATACTGAGAACACATAGTATGTAGTGACTAGGAATAAGAGTAATACTGAAGAATAATTTGAATGTGCTTGCTGTAGAATTTGTGCCAGTTGGGACAAATGTCTGTGTCTTCCAATGAATAGTTTGCTGATCAGTTAACTTAGCAAAAAAAGTAATTATGTACTTAGTTTGTGTGTGAACTTGTGGTCGTTATGAGTGTCTATAGGCTGTTGTTTAATTCTGTGACACATCACCTGGTGGCACAAGTCTTCCAAAGTGATCTCTAACTCAAGACACTTCCTGTGCCAAAGTAGTGAATTTGGGCACATTTCAGCTTTTGCTGGGTGCAGTTCTCTGAGCTAACTGTGGCTCTTGGTCATTACAGATGTTTAACATGAAGCCATTGCACATCGTGTTTCCCTCCCGAGCAGACCCTGAGAGCCCCGTCATCGACCTGGACCTTCACCTGCCCTTGCTGTGCTTCCGGCCCGAGAAGGTGCTGCAGGTACAGCTTATGCTTGGTGATTTCATGGGGCATCCAAAAGCATTGCTTATCAGAGACTGGCATACACTACAGAAATATATATATGTATTTGCTTAGCACCAATATTCACTACAGGGCACAATGTTTGCAAATAAAACATTTTGTGAGATCTTGGTGGCTTTATTTTGGCAAATGGAGTGGGGAGCCCAGGGCAGAGGCTATACTCTGGGTCACTGAATGTTTGAAGTTTGCTGTACCGGATTGGCAGCTTCTGAACAATACTGTTGGTCCCCCCAGATCCTTTCCTGCCTTCTAACGGAGCAGCGGATTGTGTTCTTCTCCTCGGACTGGGCCCTGCTGACGCTCATTGCGGAGTGTTTCAGGGTCTACCTTCACCCCCTGCAGTGGCAGCACACCTTTGTGCCCATCCTGTCGGGCCAGATGCTGGATTTTGTCATGGCTCCTACATCTTTTCTCATGGGCTGCCACCTCGACCACTTTGAAGAAGTCAGCAAGGTTAGTTATAGAATGCTTGATGTGGAGCGTTAAATTCCTGTGAGTCTATTGTGAGGACAGTGGGAAGTGACTTTTGAAAGTGTGGGCACAAGGCACTTGTTCCATCCCCAGTGTCCAAAACGAAAACAAAAACAAAAAAAGGAAAAAAGAAAGTGTTGTGCACAGGGATAGAGTACACTGTGCTGAGGAGGGTTTGCTTCAGTTTTTAAGCGCTTGTTGAGTTCCAGGCTCTGTGTGTATCCCAGCTCCCCTCCCCTAGATGACCTTGGGGTATATTCAAGGCTACAGCATTGTGAGTCCTGGAGCCTGTGGGTCTGCAGATGCAGGCAGCTCAGTTGACCCTAGAAGACTCAGTGAGGAGAGTGTAGGTGTTGAAGCCCCCGGAGGCTGAGTTCCAGTCAGCCTCTGCTGCTTACTTGTTTGTAACCTTGTGCAGTTACTTGCCCTTGCCCAGCCTGATTCCTTGTCTGTGAAATATGACAAGGGCCTGTCCTTCTGAGAAGGCTTGGAGCTGAGGAAGATTCTGTGTCCCGTATGTTGCTGGGTGCCTGCCTGGGGTTTGGTAGGTGGCAGCTCCATTGTTATTGCTACATACTTTCTAGTTTTTTTTCTTTTAATTCAGCTTTTGTGGTTTGTTGCAGTTACAGACTTTGTTCTTAGAAAAATGCAAGTCCATGCAGCCTGTTCCTTATGTGTTAGACGGGCTCATGACCTTGCTGAATTTAGTGGCTATTTACTGTCATATGGCTGACCCACAACAAAGCACTGAATCCCTTCTTTTTCTAGTTGTAAAAGGACAGCGAATGTGCCAGCCTCACTCTTAGGATGAAAATCACATGAGCAACAGAACAGTACCTGGCATATATTAAGTGCTTACTAAGTGGTAGCTGTCATTACTTTTGATGCTGATTGGAAATGGCATAGATTTGAATGGTTATCTGTTCCCGATATATAATTATTGTGATAATACTAACAGGCAGTATGCAGATTGAATTTGGTTTTAATAAATACTTCTTTTGGCTAGATGTGGTGGCACATGCCTGTAATCTCAGCTACTCAGCAGCCTGAGCCGGGAGGATTGCAAGTTCAAGGACAGCCTGGTCAACTTAGTGAGACCTTGTTTCAAAATAAAATTTTAAAAAGGGCTGGGGATGTAGCTCAGAGATAGAGTGCTTGCCTCACATGTACCATGTTTCAATCCCAAGTACTGTAAAAACAAACAAAAACTCCAGACAAACAAACAAGCAACCCAAACGGCTTTATTGCGATATAATTTATCTGCTACAAAGTTTAACTGATTACTTTGCCTATTCTGGACATTTCCTATAAGTGGACTCATTCAACATGAATCTGGCTTCTTTCACTTAGCACCACATTTTTGAGGTTCATCTATATTATAATATCTATCCCAATTTTATTGCCAAACAGAATTCCACTGTGTGATTCTGCCATACTGTAGTATAGTTGACAGGCAGCCATCAACTTGGTGACAGCCTGTGGCTGTTTGGGTTGTTTTCTCCTTTTGGCTCTTACAAATAAGGCTGCTGGGAACACTGTTGTACAAGTTTTTGTGTGGACTTAGGTTTTCATTTCTCTTGGGTACAAATGAAATGAGCAGAATTGCTAGATCCTGTGGTAACTCTGTGTCTAATCATTGAGGAGCTGCCAGACTGCTTGACAATGCAGCAGCCTCATTTTACATTCTCACCAGTGGGTAAGAGGTTCCAGTTTTTCTGCATCCTTGGCAGTGCTTATTATCATCTGTCTTTTTGATTTCAGCTCTCCTGGCGGGTGGGAACTGGAGGCTCACTGTGGTTTGCCTGTGCATTTATTTCCCAGTGACTAATGATGTCGAGCATCTTTTCATGTGCTTACTGGCAGCTCTAAGGGTAGGTTTATGTTTAACTTTTTTCTTATTCTAATTTTATTTCTTAAATTTTTATTAGTACATGTTTCCAGTACATAATGTTTACAGTCCTTGCGTGGAGGTCATACCTGTACGTAACACATCTTAATGCCTTTTTTCATCCCCAATCCCTTCTCTCCCTCCACCTCCCACTATCTCTTGATTCCCTTCCCATTCGAGAAAGATCTATCTTCTTCTTCCTATCTTTTATTTTACTCTTTATTTATATTTTGGGTTTCTAAT